TATTGCCAAGTCAAGACTTAACACAAAAAATGAATTGCATTGTCTGTTTGAACGATTTCTGATCTGGTTGAACAAAAACAACTTCAATATTCGTGACAATGCACTCTATCATTTCTTTCAAACACTCACATTGCTGTGCAGCGTGAATGTTGCAGCTAGTAAATACATTACCCTGAAAAACAAGTTAAACACAGAAAACAACGATCATATGTTTAAAATGATTTTAACATTTACATTTTCACTCACTAGCTGCTTGATTTAAAAAAAACAACTCAAACGGCTGCGGCAATAAAAAAATTGTGTCATTTCTAAATGCTCAAAATTTCTGTGTTAATTATAATTAACTGTGTTAATTATTCTGGGTCGCATAGCACGGACAGTTCACGCAATGCCTGCTTGTATTGTATGATGCTTGTTAGACAAGAAATGCGAGAGGTATTGAACGTTTATTGACAAGAGCAGAAAAATTAAATATTGAGAGGACTAATTTTTTTGAATTAATATTGCATGCATGCTCTTATGATTAATTCAAATTCAACGCAATAAATTAAAAATAATTGAAATTTTAAAAATTTTGAGGCAAATCCAGAATGTAGGAGCGTGTGCGTTCGTTTTATGGAGGTCATATATTTTATGACCAAGTTCGACTGGGCTCTATAAAAAAAATAACTCGTAAACATTGAAAATAAAAAACTCGTCTGAATGAAAATATTGTGAAAAAAATATAGAATTGCATTAAGCAAGTTCGATACATGATAAATGAAAATAATGCGTTAAAAATGCAATCAGTGTTAATATCAATAGTTCCATTTTTATACGTCTGGAGAACTTTGCAAGATGTTGTTGAAGATAAGGAAATGGAGGAGGAAGGAGGACGTATGACAGTGGTGGCCGATGTTTATTGCACGACGCACAAAACATAACAGCTAAAAAATATAATAAAAGGAGTAAATAATTAAGATAAAGACAGATTTATGGCTAGAAAATTATTTCATTTATGGTCATTATTACTTATTCCTCAAATAAAGGGTAAATATTTTTAAGGATAATGATTAAGTGTGATGTATTTTCAGATATTATTAAATTAAATATAAATCTTTAAAACTTTAAACAATTGTTCTAATGAAAATATTTATTTATTTCATGAATGCGGGTTGCTAAAACACACATTAATATGATTCTGACCATTCTTCTAAATTGTGTTGTTTTTCGTTGGCCAATGAAATTGTGTTGCATTCTATCTCATAAACCAACACATCTGTTGAAGATTTTCAAAGTTATATGATTCATAGTTCATACGATCGTTCTGAACATCGATATAAATTGGTACTTTGATTCAAAACCGTCAAATACTAGTTCTCCACTTGTTTTTTAAAATGTTTTGGAACCAGTGGTTCATTTAACACATTTTCAAAAACGTAATGAAATAATTAGAACGCAAATTTAATTTTAATAGAAAAACGAAGGCACGTGGATGTAAGTAGCATTCTTGTTCACTTCGTCATTCCATACTTTCGGTTGAAGCGTGAAAAAGTTTAAAAATAAAAAGAAATACGCGGCTTCTTTTAAAAATTTGAAATTAACGCAAATAACCTCTCGACACACAGTAAGAAACGCCATTTTGTAGGAAAACCTGTTTTATGTCCATCGGAACAATTGCAAAAAAAGGTCGCGTTCAATTTTTCTTACAATTTTTCTGCAATTTTGTTCAGCAGATAATGAGATAGTACATAAAAACAGCAGATTTATTTCTGTTGCGCAAACTTTATGTTGGTTTAGGGGCGGTCCACAGGGAATGTAAAACTTTGCGGGGTGGTACTTGTTAAATGAGGAAAGTGGGTAAAGACTTATGTGACGTCACGTTTTATTCTTTATTAATTTCCATCATAAATTTAAAATTGTTTAGGTATAAGTGCTCCATTTTATCTGTTCAGTACGCGTCAGAAGATTGTTTATTTTTGGCCCTTTTCGTTTTTTTCATGTAGTTGTGTATGTGGCTGTTTGGGTTCAACGATGTCAAAAGCGATATAATTAAAACATCTTACCTTTCTAGCAACTAAATCCTAGCTTTCAAGTGGCGGGGGTCTAAATATTTGAATTTAGAAGGACTTCAAATTTGTGGCGTCATTTATAGACAGCCCCTTATGTTTGTAAGCTTTTAGACCCCACGAAATTTAAAAAGTTCTTGAGTGATTTCATAAAAATAATTTGAAAGAAAAATTATAAAACATTAAATAAACTCTATATTATTCAAAACCAGTTAAAAATTAAAACGAAAAATTGGAAATAATAACACTGTGATTTGTTAGATTTTGTCCACACTCTCTACATTTTCAAAGGTATTGATCTATGTTAACTTTACTTTTTGTAATAAATTTTGACAAAAAATAACTATTCAATATTAAAAACCACATTTGGAAAGGAAATCTATACAGAAATCTAAACAATGGCCAATCAAAAATTTTGCGGTATGGGTGATTTTAAAATTCGGGAACTGATGACCTGTTTCTGGTAATTTTACAAAATTCCTGTTTCATCCGTTTTCAGTGGTTTTCAAAATTCTTATCTTAATGATTTTTTTGCTAACTACTTTGTTATTTTATTTCACAGAAAATTTTTCATGGTTTTCCATCCATGTCATTTGAATATAAATTTTAAAAACAATTTAAGTTTTTTAATTATTTTAATTAATTTGAGCACTGGATAATCAATTTTTTCACAAGCTCAGTAAAATTCCAGAAAACGTCAACAAAATGAAAATTAAAAAAGATTTTTATAAAATTAAAAATTTATTAGCAAACGCGTTTTAACCGGTTAGTTAAATCAACTTAACGAATAAAAACATTCGATATATTATATTCAATCAACATTTCATAAATTTCAAATTGAGTTTTTCTTTTCCTTCCTTCAATGAGCGAAAATGTTCAACTACGACAACGCTGAAAAATTATCCATGCACGTAAAACGTTCTTCATTGATGAATAGGAATATTGAAATGAGAACCGGCGAAACATCAGATCGGATCCCTGTAATGAATTGCTTCCCTTCGTCACACATAATCTTATGTCAAACAACTTCACCGAAATTCATACTATGAATAAACTTCTGTTAGTCACGCCTAGCCACATGACCGTGCTTGTTTGGTTATCTGAAATTGTACTTGCCAATAAACCGGATTCAGTGAAGTGTAAATGAATATGCATTTCAATTAAGTTTCTTTCTACAAAATAAAAAAATTTACCTGTTTATGCCATCATTTAGATTTTTAATTCACCACCGATTTTTTATTAAAATTTGTTAATAATCATTTTTTTATTTTAGTGTATGTTGGCGTTATGAATAGCCTAGTTATTAAGAAATTTGTTAAATATATTTCTTTTTACGATACATACAGTAAATTTCAGCAGGATATTTTCTATAATACGTTTTTTGTTTTGATCGAAGTTATCAGGTTGTTAAATTTCTATTTCAAGTTTTTCAACATTCATATCAAATTCTTATGTCCGTAATCCAAACCGCATAGATGCATCGTTATTATGAAGATGGCAAACAATAATAAATTAATGTTAAAAAATTAGGATTGGAATTTTTTTTATTCTGTAAATCAAACTCTATCAGACGCAAAGAAAGTCGTAGCAGCATGCAAGGTAGGACAAATAAAATATGAATTTAGAACGGATAGAAATAAAATAAAACAAAGTTGAAGACATGAGGGAAAATTGGAACAGTAGAATAAGTATAAATGGTAATACAAATGGCAATGATAAAATGGAAGTATGAAATAAAGATGCAAGGAAATGAAAAAAAAAGAATTAATTATTAACAATATAGTAGATTGAAAATTGAAGCATATAAAATAACATCTTACAAAACTATAGGGGGAAAAGATGAAAAAAAATGAAAAAAAAAATAATAAAAAAAATAAATAAATGAAATTATAAAAATAAAAGGCAAATAAAAAAAATCGTTCTTAATATAATATATATATAAATATATATGCTGGTAAAAGAGTAAAAGACCATAATTAATGCAGTAATTTATGAAATCTACCAAATTTCTAGCGTTGGATAGTTTTTTATAACATTTCTCAATATTTCGAACCAAATTCTTGTCGTCATTATATACTTTATTGAAGTTTAACTTTAATAAAATAAATAATGACGACAATGAATTCGAGAAATGTAATGAAAAACTATCCAGCGCTACTAATTCGGTAGATTTCATAAATTACTGCATATATGAGTACATATATGTAAATATACATACTGATGAATACATACATACCTTTTTATGACGAGAAAATAAAGAATTAAGATTAAATGAATACTTACAAAATGAGTAATAATACTACAATATGGGAATAATGTGTGAAAAGAATGAATCAACTAGCGTATGTAACGAATTAGTGAATAATTAAAAGGAAAAAATCAACTTAGTAGTATACAAACATAGTAAAAATATTGTTGCATAACTTACATGTGAGAAGTTAACTGGAGTAATGCGGTGCGTTAATGGATGGAATGACTAATGTGCGTGTTGGTATGATGACAGGAGAGAGGATCGAGTAATTTGATACAAAGAATGAACTGATGTGGTGAAGCAGGAGGTGGAGAGGAAAGTTAGGAAAATTATAAATAATGTCGAAAGTATGAATACTTATAATTATAAGTAATATAATGTCAAAAGTTGGTAAATTAAAATAAAAATATTGCGTGTGGCCGATGGGAACTATAAAATATTGAATAGGGTAAGTAATAAAGTGAAATAGAATGAGTTGAAAGATAATGTAAGATGAAGATAAGACAGAAATGCAAGTTAAGTGAAATACGTGGAAGTTAGGTAGAAATTTTTTTATAATAATTAATATAATGAAACTAGATTAGGTCGATAGGTGATTTATGTCACTCTGATGGGTGGTGGTTGATTTGAGTTGTCGATGCATAAATGTTTAATTCTGATGCGTTGAGCAAGCAGTGATTGCGTAGTTGTGTTTGCACTGGTCACTGGCGAAGGTTGTGCGGAGTGATTTTGATCGGTGGTTGTAGAGGGTGTATGACATGATGGCAATTGGAGTTTATTTTGTTAATAGACGGATGTCTTACGTGTTGAAGATTCGGGTGGCAGGTGGATTTAATGGTGGTAAATAACTTTGCCTAATCAGTGTATTGATGAGTGATTGTAGTTGATGTAATTGATGCTGGGCGGCAAAGCCTGGCACGACGAACAGCATATTTTTCGCCGAAGATTATGAAGGACACGATGAATAGTTTAATGTCCTTGTGTTCATGGGAGCGTAATGTTTTGCGGGCGTAGAGTGTCTGTAGGCCTTTCTTGATGATATTATTGATGTGGGGAGTGGTGTTTAGCGTTGACGTGAGAGTGATGCTTGGAAATTTAAGCTGGTCATTGCGAACGATGTTCTGGAGGTTGAATATATATATATTTTTGACTTTTCTTGTCTTGCATGTGTTTTGTTGCATGCGTGTTTCTTTTTTATAGTAGGAATGTTGTTGTGTTCTGATTTGATGTTAAATCTTCTGAACATACGATGCAGGCGGGCGATGAGACTGCAGATTCAGTGAGGGCAAGGCTTAATATTTTTTCATGTAGTCCTGTGAATCACCGCAGTTGTACACATGCGGCAGAGTTTAAAGTAGCAAAACTCTGAACAGAAAATGTAACACAAGTCGTCAACAAAAAGCACACGTTTCATGTCAATCACAGTCACCACGTTTAATGATTTCATACAAAGGGACAACATTTTTTCAAACACGTCACTCACACACTCGTTTGTATTATAACAAATTTAATTCCTATCATGCTTTGTTTGCTATTAAAACATTTGCTCGTCCGATCATGCTCTGTCATATTTATACAAAAAATGAAATTTAAAAACATATTAACTCTTTTAACGTTACTTAAACTTTATATTTGTTATCAAGCATTTTGTTTTCGTTGAATAAATTTCACGTGGTCAGCGGAGAGCGTGGCGGTGCAATAAATTGAAGCGAGTGTGTCTCGGCATTTTGCAGTACCTTCTCTACCAACTCATTTTTCTATATTTATACCTCAACTTGTTTATCAGAATGAATGCATAAATGTTTGCAATCTTTTGGTTGTTAATAACAATTTAAAATGAACTAAATTTTAATTAACAAAAATATTTTAAAAATTCGTTAGGACAATGTTTTTAGTCTGCTGTAAAGATATTATCAATTTTTGACTCAGTAATTTTGTGATCACATAAATTTAGTTCAGAAACCTAAGTTCGTTGCTGTTGCGTTGCTGCTTCGTCGTTGTGTCAGTGTGTGATGGTCAGCGTGAACTTGTGAAATCGTTAGAGTGAAATAAAAAGTGATGTAATGTGTGTAAGCCTTTATGTGTTAATAAAATAAAACATAGTAAATAAAATATAATATAAGCACGGCACACAAAAATATTTTGTGATAATTTCAACGTTCGGTGCCCACATTTCCATTTGCATCAGTTTTTCACCAACCTTACGAAGAAACAGTTTGAATTTTTGCATCAAACGACTAGCATCTGAAAACAATAATGTTACAAATAATAATTAAAAAGCAGAATAGCCATTGAGAGGACTGGAAAGGTAAGTGAATGAATTGATTGAAATGCTGTTTCATCTGCGTTCCATTTTTTAAATATAATGCTGATATAATTCAGTGCTGTACATTTTATTTTGACTTATTAATTATTCATTTGTTGATGTATATTAAATTTATTTCTTCCTTAAAACAAAAATTTAAAAAAAATTGTTGCTTTACAACATATTTTGTATGGAGCGCATGTACAAATGCAATTATCATTTTGCTTTCAACTGTAGTTGACACTGAAACAATAAGTTCTAAGCATCGTTGCAACAGTTAAAATTCTTATTTGAATGACCACATCATAATTGTCGCAGCAAATATTCAATGCCGTAAAATTTGAAACACAGAACTTTTAATTTTGCTAAAAGAACAAAAATTTATTGAAGCAGTTTGTTAGTAGCAGCCACAAATGGAATCGTCCTCAAACTTTTTTATTGCTCAACAGTACGAGACGTGACACAACCAAGACACTTCTCCTCAGTGCTCACATCCTTCTTTCCATGATGCTTTATGACCAAACAAACAGACATCAAACAAAAAATCGTTGTTGCCCACCTTGTGGAGTACCTCTCATAGATAACAGTTCATTGTGGGCAGTGTGTTCTTCTTTACTAAACAATAATTGATCTGATGTTGCTAATTTATGAATGAGGTTTGAGATTGTTGCCTGTGTTTAGTTTTTAGATGCTGAGCTGTGTGACGTATTTTGTAGTTGTTTATAATAATGTTTTTTGCTGCTATTGTCTCAGCGACGTTGTTGTTTTTGTAAATTCAGTGCATTCAAACTTTAGTGATAGTTTTTATAATTTTTGTGATTGCTGGGCTTCTTTATTTTGTTCTGCTGGCATCGTAAAATGTATTGTTCTATCAACGACTAGCAGCGGAAGTTTATTAAAGAGCTCTGTCCAAAGAATGAATGCGTTCGTCTGCTTTTCAGGTTGGTTGGCGTGAACTTTATACTTGCACATTTTGCGGATTATTCAATAAATCGCTTGTGTCTAAACAGCCATGTTAGATTTATTTTCAGTAAAACGTTTAAAATTCCAATGAAATCAAATGCATGCAGAACGTGCAAACAAACCTGGACAAAAATGTCTGTTTTATTGTTTACTGAATTTTTATTAAATTTACAGAAATATTAAAATAAATTTTTGTGAAGTTTATAAATTGTTCCTATGAATTATTGTGACTTAACACGTAGTAAATTTGTTTAATTATTTTAGTTAGTGGTCATCAAATTTTACACAATGGAGCACTTTTTTCCCACAAATAACAAAACATTAATTACAGAAATTAATAACTGTATTTTATAGCAACATAAATGTTAATCAACTACAAAACTTGTGATTGTTCATATAACCAAAAAATACTTTTTTAGGTAAAGGTAGGAACGATTTAATAATAAAAGATGTGCACTGCCGCTACAAACGCCATCGAGTAATGTATCATCGTGCAGTGCAGCATTAGCGCTAATAACCGCTCATAAACGTAATAACCAACTCAGGACAAAGAGGAATAGACAATTAGAGCCATAATAAATAATGCTCTGTACAACAACCACAAAAAAAGTAAACACACAAACAAGCACACACCCATAATCACACAACTTTCCAAAAAATTATGTATCCATGATTTTTTATTTTGTTTTCTACGACCGGAGAAGTAACAAGTCCAAAAGTATAACTGGTATAAAAGTGATAATTACAACATAAGAGCAACAACGAAACCGCAGAAAAACGGACGTAAGATAAGCACAAACTTTTCATGAAAAAAATTTTTGAATCCTTATCTCGAAAACAGAAAATATAATCTTTATCAAGATTTGTGTGGAAAGACCATTTTGAGAATAAGCGTAGCCATCAACGTCATCGACTCGACACTGCATGGCGTCACATATAACATGAATGATATCAGAAATGGGCAAAACTGAAATCAACAATATTGCTCCGAAATTCACTGTGTAAAAAATCAATTAAACATTTAATAAAGAAATAACTAAATGAACTAAATAAACATATAATCTCACAAACCAGTTCAAAGCAGAGTTGAAATGTTGTATTAAAACATCATAAAAGAAATATGAAAGAACAACACATTCCTCTGTGCCAAAACGTTTCTCACTTCCTGAGCAGTTTTTCATAAATCTAACAAGGCAGCACACATCTTAAAACGTATCACGTTGCAGAATCCTCAAGAATAAATCAAAAAAGTATAAAAATTACTGTCACTGATATAAAAAAAACTTAATTTTTTTAAAAAACAGCTGCAAAATGATACTGATAATGATTTTGTGTAAAAAAAATTAAAAGTATAACATTTTCGCGACCATGAAAATAACACGTTAAAATACTTAAACGATTAAAATTTTCGGTCTATAAACAAGAGAAAATTTAAACAACACAATTGAATCAAAATTTTTAGCTCATTATTTGATCAATCAAGTTTTAAAATTCAATAAAAATGAAATCGAAACATAACAACATCACTCAATTCTAGATGGCACCTTATTATTCTCGAGTCCACAAAATGATGGAAACAAAAGTTATCATGAATGAAATTTCTAAAATTGTTGAAAACTCCGAACTCTACTTTGCTTTCCCTATCTATCATTGAATTTTATTATTTTTTATTGACCGGGTTTGATTAATTTAGAGCTAATTGTACGCCTGAGAAAATTGACTTTCGATTTTGAAAGTACGTGTAGCTGAATTTATTCTTATTCAAGTCTTTTTGATAACATAAAATATTAATTTCAGGTTTTAATCGGTCCTGGTTTTTTAGCGTAAAGTTATCAATTAATTAATAATTGGAGTTAATTATCAAACTACTATATGATGTAAAGCCACCGAGAAGCACTTGTCGGGAAAGTAAGGCTGAGCCCTTCAATTCCAGATTTGTGAAGCTTGCGATGCTCCAATTGCAATTGTTGAAAATGATGAATTATTAAAAGTAACGAAAAATTATGAACTGAGCAAAAAAAAAACAAAAAAATAATCAAACCTATTTTCAATTTTCAAGTTCATTTGCTCACTAGTTTTTTATATATTTTGTTTGAGTTAATTATCATCAAAAATTTTAAAGTATGAAATTTAGATTTTTTCTAACCTAAATGCATTTAATAGGCACTAAATCTTTTTGACGCAATTATCACTCCGATGAAGCATTATTTATTAGCAATGATTGCGATATCCAAAAAATAAGCAGTTGAATTGTAAATTTCTGACTGATTTGAAAAGAAAATACCACTACGGGTGCGCAAAAAAGGCGATTGTTCTCAAGCGAAGATACCACAAAAAAATGTTCAGCAGATATTGGATGCAACGATTTATACACTAAACATAAGATTTTTATAAATTTCGAAGGAAGCATATGCTGAAATAATGCAACGCCTCACATTAGCGAGTAACATCTTGTAGTAAAGTCGTAAGATTAATAAAGTTGACCCACCAAAAGGCCATTCCCAAACTTTATTGAAATATTATTGATTTCATTTCTATAAATTTATCCATTTCTGTTTTGAATGATGTTACTGAACTTAATTTTAAGTTTTTTGGATTACATTACTAACCACAGTTGATGGTGCTGGATAAAGTATTATGGAAAGATTTCTAACATTGATACCACTTTCATTGACAAATTTGAATTTTTTTCTTTGCAAAAAACTGAGATCTGACCACATCCGATATGAATCTATTCATCTCATTTTCAGAATTGATATTCCGTTATGTTGTTTCGGCTATGAACCACCAATTTTCAAAAGTTTAATACCATCTTTCTCAATGATGGTCTTATAGCATGAATCTGTGGTTTAATGTTAACGTTCGAATAATTTAGTTTTCTCATCTTTTCAATTATTACCAAAATGTTGGTTCAACTCTCTTGATGACGTTTTTCAACAGGTGATGAACCTGCACATGGGTTAAAAAACTTAACGCTGTTGAATGATTGAATTGATGCCAATCTTTCCACAAATATGCATGGTATAAAGAAGCTTAGTAAATTATTGTAAATCTTAAGAAATTTCAAAGATTTATAGTAATTGCTAAAACGTGTGTTTAGGTCACATGTCTTTTATTTTATAGATGAGTGAGTATTTCTTCTTCAACTAAACTGGTTCATTATAAACATGCCTCATTTGAAAAATTGAGAATTTTTGCAGGTGCGATAAATAAGAAAATTATGCAAAAACTTGGACTGTGCTTCTTCAAGTATGAAAAAATATTTTAAAAGGTTTAAAATGTTACACCAAACTTTGATTAAAATTTTTATTATTCACTTTTTTGTCAAACTATGAATAAATAATTTTATGAACATTGGTTTAAAACGAATTACAAAATGTATGGAAGTGGTCCTAGATATTTTAAAGCAACATCAACTGCTGCATTTATTTATTCGTATGCAAACGTTAATTAATGCATTTTTTAGCAACAGCAGTAGATTGAAGTTAATTTGAACGTGTAATCTTCCTTCTAAAAACAGGAACGGACATTGAGAAACATTTTTTCAATTTTTAATTTTTTTGGCATAATAAATTTTTTGAATAAATTTGTTCACTCAAAAACTTTTTCTAAAAACTCTGCTCAACAGCCAACTTCTATTCAAACCAGGTATAATACAGATGTTCTGCTCATTTAATACCCGTTTCTTAATAGATTTGATAATTTTAGTAATGATGGTGATGATGGTCCAAAGCTGATGGTTTTGGAAAAAAATACTAAAAAGACTACGTAGATCTCAAATTATGGCCTACGATAAAATAGTGATGACGATTTTTTGGGGTTGAACTCTTGCTGAAAGTAGAGACTGGCGTATTCGAGGTGGAATGGTTGAAAAAAGAAGAACCAGAGGTGATCTAATTCAGATGTACAGATTGTAAGTGGCACAAATGTGATAAACTGGCATAATGAACCGATATTCGTGTTTGACCCAAGAACAAGAAGACACAATAAAAGATTACGAATGGAAAAAGTTAAAAAAAACTGCCGAAAAAAGTTGTTTACAAATCGTATAGTCAACAATTGGAATAACTTATCTCAGGAAGCAATTGATGCAAAAGATTTTAATATTTTTAAAAACGGTATAGATTCAATTATTGAATGAATAATTTAAGCTGTTACAGTCACGTTACTACTGTAACCTGACTCAATGCACACACGTGCATCACAGCATAGTGTTAATATTATTATTATTTAAGGTAGTAGTACAGTCAGTTATGGTTTATTAGTTGAGTTAGTATTTAAACTGGTTTCGTTATTTTTCATGTTGGGTTTATCTGTCAGTATCTTCCAGACTTGGTAAGCATATAATAAAATTATTTTTCATAATTTAATTTTTTGTCAATAAATTATGAAAAAATAATTTCACACTTGCTAAGCTAATATATGAAACAAAAATTATTTTTGCAAAAGAAATCGAGGATTTTTATTGTTTATAAAATGCACAATGTTTTAAAAACATTGAGGGATTAGCCAAAAATGTAATTGCAAACGATTGGTTGCTTAATGTGAAAATGAAAATAATTTTTATTGTTTGTAATAAATCGATAAAAAGTTTTTTAACACCAATAAGAAGGTTTGAGTTTTCTAAAAAGAGTGGGCAACCTTTTCTGGCTTATCTCACCGCAGATTGTAGCTAATTTTCATGTTAACATCATTACATTTTCATTCCCAATATATAACCTTATTTTCAATACAACCATAACTCTGGCTAAAATTTCCGGCCCCCTGTGGTTACGCCTCTGCTTAGCGAAATTAAAAAACCATCATCGCTTTTATACAACCCAAGTAAACATTTTAAAAATTTGTTGATCCTACTTATTTTAAAATTGTTGGTACATTTTTAATGGCAAAGCAATAAATTTTAAAAATTTTATTGTTTCAGCACTCGACTGAAAAACTCTGAAAATGAAAAAAACCATTAAAGTTCTTGAAAAATTAAACGTACCACAACCATTAATAAAATGAATTTA